CTCACGTGTGGGATCGTCCAACTTGTCAAATCTATCAGAAAATAGGACACACCGTTGTTTGTTGCTGGCTTCGGTATGAGGAGTGCCGAAATAGTGATAACCGTGCCAATTATGTATCTCAAGCCGGCCCTTCCTCTGAATGGTTGTTGGATACTGGGGCCAACATGCACGTTACTTCTGATCTATCCAAGCTTAATGCTCCAAATCCATATCATGGCTCCAATGGTATTACTGTTGGCAACGATGAGTCCCTTAATATTTCTCACATTGGCACGGGTACAATTAAAACCCCCACCGTTATCTTTCACCTAGGTAACCTTACCCACGTCCCTTCTATTAAAACCAATCTCCTTTCAGTTTACCAATTCACAAAAGACAATAATTGCTCACTCTTGTTCACCTCTAATAATTTTTAGATTCTAGACAATACTACCAAGAGGGTGATTTTTAAGGACCCCTGTGAGCATGGTCTGTACGTTCTTCCTGGCACAAGTTCGTCTGCCCACCCTGATTTAGAAAGCGTTCCTGCGGCTCCGGTGGCTCTTTCGGTTGATGGCCACCTGTCTGTTGTGGCACAGTAGTCTGGGTCACCCGTCTACTCAAATAATAAATTTTTTAATATCTCAATTAGGTTTTTCTTCCATTCATGTAAACAATTGTGACTCATGTTCAATTGCTAAATCTCATAAATTACCTTTTACTTTATCTGAGAAGCGTACAACTGCACCTTTTGAACTTATTCATTCCGACTATGGGGTCCTACAGCTGTTCCTTCATTTGCTCGTTTTCGCTATTATATTTGTTTTGTGGATGATTTTACAAAATACACTTGGTTGTACCCACTAAAACACAAATCACAGGCATACACCACCTTTGTCACTTTTGAAAAAATGGTCAAAACACAATTCAATTCTCATGTTAAGCTTTATCGAAGTGACAATGGAAAGGAATATCTAAATAACATCTTTGGCTAGTTTCTGCAATCCCTGGGAATTATACATCAAACCTCCTGTCCATACACTCCCGAACAGAATGGGGTGGCTAAGAGTAAGCATCGCCATCTCATTGAAACAGTGGTTACTCTTCCACGTCAATCTCATATCCCTGTCTCCTTTTGGGTAGATGCTCTAGCCACAGCAAACTACCTCATTAACTGAATGCCCAGTCACACCCTCTCAAAAAAATCACCCTATCAACTCCTTTACCAAGAACTTCCCAATTATATTAACCTCTGCGTCTTTGGGTGTCTTGCCTACCCTTAGCTACGCCCTCATATTACTCATAAATTACAACCCCGATCCCGTCCTTGTATTTTTTGGGGCTATCATCCTACCTTCAAGGGTTATCGCTGTCTTGACCCACAAACTCATAAAGTCTACATATCTCGTCATGTAAAATTTATCGAAAATGTGTTTCCCTACGAGTCTATTTCCTCCTCCACAAATACATCATTCATTGGCATCCTTCCCCTTTTTCCAACATACTCACAGAGTCCCTCACCACCTTCCCCCACACCTCCACCCACTACCCAACTACCCCTCATCACCCCGTCGACCGTCACCCACAATACACCCGTAACCTCTACCCACACTCACAACCAAGCCGAACCACCCTATACCCACAACATCTCCAGCCCAATCCGATTTGGGTCCTTCCCACCCACCCCCGAATCACCATCGCCCGTGCCACCCCCCAATACTCATCCCATGTTAACCCGTGGCAAAGCCGGTATCTTTAAACCCAAAACCTTTCAGGCTACCATACTAACAAATACACCCATTCCTGATAGTGAACCAACAACCTACTCTGTTGCCTAAAAAATGCTTATTGGCGTCATGCTATGGATGACGAGTTTAAGACTTTGACTGATCAGAAAACTTGGGTTCTTGTACCTAAGCCCCATGGGCGGCACCTAGTGGGCTGTAAATGGGTGTACAAATTAAACACAATGCAGATGGCAGTATTTCCAGGTACAGGGCTCGTTTGGTTGCTAAAGGCTACAATCAGGAGTATGGGCTTGATTACTCCAAGACATTCAGTCCTGTTATTCGGCAGGAAACCATTCGCCTGTTACTGTCACTCGCCGTGCGCAACAATTTGCTCATCAATCTATTGGATGTTTCCAATGCTTTTCTTCATGGCATGCTTGATGAAACTATCTACATGATGCAACCACCTGGCTATGTTGATCCCCACTTCCCTCAACATGTTTGCAAACTCCTGAAGTCTCTGTATGGGCTCAAGCAAGCCCCCTGTGCTTGGTTCACACGTCTGAAAACGTTCCTCCAGGGACTCGGCCTCACGTGTTGCGTACACAACACGAGTCTGTTTACTCGACATTCAGCACACGGTACAGTCATTCTTCTTGTCTATGTAGATGATATCATTATTACAGGCTCTACTGAAGCTCTCATCCAGGATGTCACTCGAGCTATGCATACTGCCTTCAAAATGAAGGACCTTGGCCCGTTACATTATTTTTTGGGAATGGAGGTTTCTCGGACAGGCAGCAGCTTGTTTCTTCATCTTTCAAATTATGCTCAAGATCTGTTGTAGAAAGCTGGACTGGAAAAATGCACCAGTCTACCAACACCGATGGCAATCTCTTCGTCTACAAATGGAGCCCACACCCCTTTGCCGATATCACCCACTTCCGCAGCCTCATTGGGGCTCTACAGTATCTTGTCATTACCCGTCCTGACATCCAGTTTGCTGTCAACCGAGTTGCTCAGCGCATCAATCAACCAAGTGAACATGATTACCATTGTCTAAAACGCATTCTCAGGTACATTTTTGACACTCTTGGTCGTGGTTTACTCATTCGACCCAGGGACTTGGAGCTTCGGGGTTTCTCAGATTCAGATTGGGCGAATGATAAAAATGACAGAAAATTTACATCGGGGTTTCTCATTTTTTTGGGGCCGAACCTGATCTCCTGGTGTAGAAAAAGACAACCCAAGGTCTCTCGGTCCTCGACTGAAGCTGAATACCGCGCCCTTGCTCTTCTTGCTGCTGAGACCATGTGGGTCACCTATATTCTTTGCGAACTCCGCGCCACTCACACTATTCCTGCTCTCTATTGTGAAAACAAATCAACCATCGGTGTGGCCAAGAATTCCGTCCTACACACCAGAATGAAGCATGTTGATACCGATTGTCTTTTTGTTCGCGATGAAGTTCAGACCGGCACCATGACTGTCCAGTATGTACCCACTGAAGAACAACCGGCTGATATTCTCACCAAGCCTCACCCGAGCCGACAACACGATTACCTCAGTTCCAAGCTTTCGCTCTCTTCCGCTCAGCTCAGCTTGAGGGGGGATAATAACATATAGTATTAAATAAATAGTATAAAATAATATTAGTATTTACTGTGTACTAATCCTAGTTCTATTAGGATCAGTACTCCTTAATCCTAGTCCTATTATGATTAGTACTCCTTCCTATATCTCCTATATATATCTCCGATGTATTCCCTTATAAGGTTAACACTTCAATACAATCAATATTCCTGCAGTTACATTTTATTTAAATTTAACTAATAAAATTTTGTTATAGATTTATTATTTTAACAAGAAGATAATATGTATAGAGTGATATTATTTATCATTTTAAATAGATTAAATAATGATAAAAGATTATTATTTAAAAATTTGGATAATCAAATAAGCTTATTTATTGAATTATTGACATAAATATTCTATGATAACACATCAGGGTGTTAAACGTTAATATTCTTAAATAAACTTTCCAATTTTATCTTAAATAAGTTAGAACTTTAAATTTTTTAGTAAACTAATATTTATGATTACATATATCAATTAACAGTGAATCGCGAGACACAAATGCTAGTGTAATTAATATACAGAGAAGTGATATTGACATTCAATTCTTTTATTAAATTTTATTTTACAGACAATTTTTTTAAAAAAAATTAATTGCTTATTTTAATATTTACTTCCTGATCCATATATTTTTGGAATTTTTAATAAATACATAAAGCTACTATCCAAAATTCACATATTCATCTAAATTCAATCCAAATAACCAAACAACATGGATGTATAATTTCACTATAGTTGAACAATTTAACTTGAATTTGAATTTACATTGTTGATATAAAAAATTGAATTTCGTTTGTTATTTTATTTTGAAACTTTCGATCTTAAATTAATTTTTAAACTTGAGTTATATGGCAATTGACATTCCAACTCAATATTGTTTTTCTTCTCCAATTCATAGATTAAATATGTTTTCCGATTTGGACACTTTTATTTTATTTTAAAATATTCTATTTTTAACCTGATTTTTTATTACATATATCATTTTAAGTTAATGTAAAATAAAATTAATATTGAATACTCAATCTAGTACTAATTGAAAAAGAGATTTAATGAGAAAGAATTAATTATAAGGGAAATTAAAAAAAAAAAATAGTTCTACCTTGATTTCATATATTGACAAGTAATTCGGGAAAAATATTCTTCTAACATAAACAAATAGCATAAGATGATGGTCTCCACGAGATAGTGATAACTTCGTGGTACACTCTATTATTCTTAAACCTCTCTGGGAAGATTTCACTAGATATTTTGGTATTAGACAACTAATACGAGATAGAAGGAGTATTAATTAAAATTTTATTTTGAAAACCATAATAGATAACAAAACTAATAGGACCAAATATATATATATTTTAGAAAAATATTTATTTTCTCTTATATTAAAAAAGACATGTTTCAACATGCCTGTTTCATTACTTTTAGAGGTATTTGTGTCTTTTCAGTTCTCTATTAAGAGTACGTGTCTTTTTTCCGTGTCATCAGTTCTCTTCTCAGTTCCCTACGTGTCTTCCTCCTATGTTAGCAATGTACACATTACTCTACGCTCTCTGTATCTGTATCTTCTTCATTTATGCTCCACCATCTGTGCATCAGCATTCTCCAGGTAAGGTTCTTTCATGTTTCAATTTTGTATCTTTGTTTTGATGCCATCTTTCTTTTCGTCCAAGTCCCCAATTTAATTAGGGTCCGTGAATGCTTTGTTATTTTCCATTTAGGTTTGTTATAGATGTTTGATTATTCTCGTCTTTTGGAAGTTCCAATAATTTTAATAATTGTGTCTTCAATTTCGGTTGGGTCCTTATGCTTTTCATGTTCTATTTTAGATTGTCGAAAAACTATTCAGATTCAAATTTTTGTGTGTTTTTTCACATGCAGTAATTAATTGGTCATTTTAAACTTTTGGGAGATTCATCTTTTGATCAACAAGAAGTTGTTATATGGAATAAATGTTTAAGAAATCTTGCTGAAGGTAGTTCTGTAGTTTCGGTTGGGTCATTATGCTTTCCCTATTCTATTTTAGATTGTTGGAAAACTTTTTAGATTCAAATTTTTTTTTGTGTTTTTTCACATGAATTATATTCATTAGGTGAACATTGAACAAGATATAAGATAACCAATAAAGTAAGAGTTGTGAGAGGTTTATTGATTTTGATGAGAAAGACAACAACTTGTTTGAGCTCGAACGGAGCAGGGTATTATTGTGGATTTCTGAATTGCCGTTAATGGAGTCTTGGAGTTGTGGAGAGTGAAGTGGAGATGTCAATCAAATAGACTACAACATAGTCTTAGCTTCTATGTTAGATGCTAATAAAACTTAAGCTTATATAGTATAGTACTTTTTTGTTGTTGTTCGGTACTTGCATTAGATTTCAACTTAATTTAATGTCAACTTCATTTGGTTGGTCGATTTCGCTATGAATTATGTAAACTGAACATCTTTAATTATTCAGTGCTAGAATTTCTGTTTTTATTGTTAGGTTTTGATTTTTGGTACTGTGCCTTCTTCTTGATAGTTGATTTGAAAGATGCAGATGAATTCATTGTGCCTTTTCGCACCAGCAGTAGAGCAATTTGAGAAGTAGTGAAAGGTGTGGTCAACAATTTTTTTCATCACCATTGCCATCTTTAAAATAAGAGATCATATAAACAACTGAAAGGCGAAAAAAATTCGTAGTTGCATTTCCATTGAAAAGTCATTTATACAAGTTTTTAATTTCTAGTAGTCTTTTTTTTTTGAGGGAGGAACAAGTAGGTAAAGCATTAAAGTTCTGTTCTTTCTGGTTAAACATTCATTTTCAGGATACTATTTCGTCAGTATCCCTATTTCAGTTCTTGTTTTTTTAATTGATATTTTTATTCGTCCATGTTGCATTTCAAAGCTTTTTTATCACTTGCAGTAATTAATTGGTTCCTCTTTCTTCGTTATTATTTTGAACTTTTTTTGTTCATATGGTTTATGGTGTAATTAACTGAAGAAATTTTTACTAAGTTTTATGTTTCAAGAGAATCAACTTCCTAGGTTTATATATTTTAATCTTTCATTGTTATGAGTTTAGTTTGGAGTTTCGTTATATCATTTCATTAAAGTTTTGAAATTATTTTCACTTGCAGTGTGAAGTTAAGGATATACAACTGCTCTACGAGAATGTCATCTACGGGTATGTCCGTCAATGTTTTCTTCCGCCTTTTATTTTGATCTCCCTTTTTGTTGTGTATTAGTTTTCTCTATCTTCATTGAGTTCAGTAGAGAATATTAGCAAATCATAGTTTTCATATCAACATTGAGTATTTGATTGACAACACACATGGCATGGAACCAAAAAAATCTTTCACCATAAGGCACAGACCTAGCCCTATCCCCTATCTTGCAAGTTCTCATAGATTCTTGAGCTTTTTATTTAATAATGAAAAGCTAAATTAGGAAAAAGAAAAACAAATAGAAGATATATGAAGGGCATAAACAACGATTCATACAAAATCTGGGCATGTTAACAGGTGCACCTGCGTCTCTATATAGTTCTTCAATCGCCACACCAACGTCTTCTTTCTCATTCCATCGCTATCCAAGTACTTGTTGAATTGTATAAGCTTCTTTAACAGTTAAACAACATAAAATTTATTATGTTAGCAATCATTTGGTGCAAGGTCACAATAAAGTTGAATTAAAGCGAGGAAATATGACTATAGTCTATAGCTATGGGGACTACTGAAGAAAATATGGTTGGATTGTATACTATTTGTATGTAGTGTTCAATCCACGGATAGATATAAGAGAATATGTCTTTGCATCCTTAAATGTAAGTACTTAGTATAACTATAAAATTATAATTACAAAAAGAAAAGTGATCTTACAGACACAATAGGATCTTATGAATGTGAATGGTTTTGGGATAGGAGCATAGCTAAGAGAAATTGGCGCATACAGGAAGTAGTCTTAATTGATTGAGAAGTTGGATCGAGTCTGATCTCTGCTACAACTAATATAAGGGAGGACTCTAAAATAATTATTATCTTTCATATTTAATCATTTCACTAATTTGTGGAGAAATTATGGTGGATTCATAACCTCATTGTGAATATATCATTGTTGAAAGGATCATGAATTAGATAGTACTTGTATAACTTCTCTATCTTTATTGAATTTTTCAGATAATGATGTGATAATATTTTGAATCTCATGTTGACTAGAAAGGTAAGATCAAGAACAATAATTCATTTTGAGATTAACAAATTGGCGTTTAGTGAACTACTTGTTATTATTTCTAATGTTTCTAAGTTTTGTAGACAGTAAAATTTTCTAAATAAATCAAAGTTACATAATCAAGGTGTTGGCACTACATTATAAGCTCTAAATTTCTGTCTCCTAAATCTCTGTATCTTATTTATTTTACTTGATATATGATATTGTGATATGCAAATAGATATGTTAATGATAACTGAGACCTCAATGAAATGGGAGAGCTTCCAATACTTTATATTTTTTTTGATGCACCAAGATAATACCAACTTGTATAGGAAATTCAGTGGAGGTGTTGTTACATAGTTGTTGTTCTTATAGCATATTTGTTTTGAGCTGAATTTCAGTTGTTTTGGTGGGATATTCTATTATTTTTAAGTCATCTTCTAAGGATATGGTGTAGGGGGTGACTATGATTGTTGAAAGGGTTTATTTTTCTTACCTATTACTAATATTTCTCTACAGTTTATAGTTATGTCAATAAGACTACAAGATTTTTCCACTTCAATATCAATAATATGCACCCACAAATTATATCTAATATTAAATCTCTAAATATGATAATATCTTATATAATCATGTGAAACAAGGTTAGAGTAAAAGTGGCAACTTGAGATTATGTGACACTGCTTGTTGTAACACTCACTCTCTTCCTAATTCAGTAGTGCACGAGTAGTGTATTTTCTAATGCTCCGATATGAGTTAATAATTATGTATGATTTTTAACACTTATATCAGCTCTAATCATATATGCTTCTAATTTGTATGTAAATAATTAAATGCAGCTCATCTTGTGTATTTCTCAAACCCTCCATCTCTCACAAACATTGAATAAATTCAATAGTAATTGATTGGAGTAGCAACACATTTTAGAAGTTGTTTCTATATTTGCAACTTAAATTAGTACCTATTGATTAGTATGCAGTATATATATTTAAATATTAATTAGTAGTTCCATGCATACAGTATCAGTGCACGGTTTTATGGTGTGATGTAAATGGTTTATCCTAATCAATGCATTATTGATTGCTTTCACGACTCTAAGTCGTGATCTATAAGTCACACATGAACTTATTAACTAAACTACATGCATTTGTCAAGACTCTATTTCCCCACCTATCATTTTTTTATTTTTGTTACCAGTGAAATATATTATATGTTTTTGAAGATGTTGATGGCATACACTTATGTTGTTAATGGCGTACACTTTTACTGCCTATTTTTGAGAAATTGACATCAGGTACAACCTAAACATTCACAATGTACTTAGATCTTGCATGCTTCAATCTATTATTAATTTATTATCCTTCCTCTGTAGTCACTTGTTCAATGAAGAGTACTAATGAAATTGTTAATGTATTATATATTGCACTAATGATTGTTGTGTTTTTAGTTATTATACCTAAAGATGATCTTTTGTGTGTTTTAATATTGTCATGTCGATAAATTATATGCACAAGCCGACAACGTTGGTTCACATGAATGTGCACATTGAATTAGTTTATGTTGATCTCTTGGCTTTTGAAAAAACATCGGATGAATAGTGCATGTGCACACACTTACAAGAATTCAAGAACCATCTAGAACAAGTGGTGATTAGGACAATATACGAATCTTTCATTCAACTGCTTTCATCTATTTAACACTCTCTTTTCAGCTCCGAAAGAAAGGAGTATAGCATCGACACCAGCACGCACTATCTGATCAGCTCCTTCCTTTCTCTTGCAACCAAAGCGAGAGCTGGGAAGGTTTTCAACGAACTCTTTGAATTTTTTATTTTTCTATCTTGTGTGCAAAGATATAGGGTCTGACCTGCAACTAAATATTATGAAAAAAATTTCATCCTTTGGTAATCAAGTTGTAAGAATATTAGTGTACTGTAGACATCAGTGACTCTATTTGCTATCATCTTGAACAATCAATGAGCTATCATAGCTTAAAAGTTTCAGTTTTGATCTAATGGAGTGTCATTTATTCATATATTTTTGAATGTTCTTTTCCAAATGAATTATTTCTAAATTATCCATAAAACAACTATCATTACTGCTAATGTGATCACTCTTCTATGTAGATGTGCACCTCTTGTTTGTTAATTTGCATATCCATCTGCGTATATACGTTTATGTGTGATATTAGACACACAATCTTTTTAACATTGGGCCCGTGCAAGCACGGGCCATCCCTGCCTTGTTTTATAAATAATTGACCTTTCCCATTAACCTAAAGCAAAGTATATATTTGTTTTTATTATTGTTAATATTATCAATTATTGTAATTTTAATGGAGATAGTTTTCTTTGTTATCATGTATAATAATGTATTTTTTTAATATAGCAAATGTAGTATTTTGTTAATTTTAAAAGAAGCAAAAATTATTGTACTATAATAGTACCATTCATCCAAAATAACTCTCTCCCTTCACATTTTAGATTCCAAAAATCTCCCCCCAAAAGTTAAAAATTATAAAGTATTAAAAAATTCCCCCCAAAATTTTATAAGTCAATTATCAAAAACCTATATAGCATTTCTCCTCCTCCCATTACCTTCTTTTCTACCCTTCCTCTTACCATTTCTTTATCAAAGTTTTTTGTTGAATTTTTATTTCTAATAATTTGTTAACTTTTTATTTTGTAGGTTTTATCTAGCATCCTCCAAGCGGATGAGATATGTTTTTATATAATGATTTTTTTTGTTTTACTCAGTTGTATATTGTAAATATTCTATTATTTAAAGGCTCAAGAAATTATTGAACCATAAATAATTTATCATAAACAATTATATTTTTAATTTTCAAGAGATTATATTTATGGCTTTTATCGATGGGTGTTACAATGGATTGTATATTTTTATCAAAGTAAAAGATATATTTTCACTAGGCATAAGTTTTAAGTGATATTAAAATTTCAGATCTATATCTACAAGTTTTAAGAAGTTTAAATTTTACAGGTTTGCTTACTTCTTTGTTTCGTTTATGTTTTGTTTTTCATTGTTTATTTGCAAAAAAATTATCATACACATACTTTTTTCTCCTTGAAATTCTAATTGATTATATTTTAAGTGCTAAAATATTTACCATATTTAATAGGTATATTTATGGGATACGAGTATATAAATGACAATTGATACAAATATTGATCAAACTAATGTGTAATTGAAGATTATGGAAGGAGAGATAGGAAAAGAGTATGCTACTTTGGACTCAAACAACGTGATGTCCTACAAGAATTGTATATTATGGCTAATCTCAAAATTGTAAAATGCTATTATATTTAACATTAGAATTATTTTGGAATCTCAAAAATTATATTATGGTTACATTATGTAACTTAGTTTCTTACAAACAAATTTTGTGGAAAATCTATCCATTTTTGGCTATAAATTTTTTGAGATATAATTTTTAGCTATAGTATAAAATTCATGTTATTAATACTGTTTATGAAAATATTCTTTTATTTGTAGTAATGATTTTTATAGTTATGACTAAATCTGAATGTATTTATCAAAAATAGGGCGATACATTTTTGTTTTTCACAGCAAAATTAAAAAAGTTAGTGATCTACGGTGTTTCACGGTACTTTCAATGCATTTTTTTAAGTTTAGTGTGTGTGTAAAGCCTTTTTGTATTGATTTTTAGTGTAGTTTTCTATTTTTTTTTAGGAAATCCGTCCAAAGGAGAACACAAATATTTTGATCTGATATTGGAGAAGTGACCACCTACAGACCCCACGACGGTCATTCGTGAATGTGACGGTCTGTATGGGTCAACCGTCGTGGGAAGATAATAGATGCTGAAGTAAGTTGGGGAATTCTATCCAAGTATGGGAATACAGAAGCTCATGACGGACCGTCATAGCCATGACGGTCCGTCACGAGGGTCGTCGACTCAGACGCATTTTGGGCAGATTTTTCCTTAAATGGATTTCACTATTTTATTAGATTTTGTTAATTATAAATAGTCCAAAAAACCCTGTTTTTGGGGTTAGACTCTTGGATAATTTTCAATTTTTCTGTCTTAGTATTGAACTTTCGATTTTGGGATTTGATATTACTTTTCCAGAATTGATTATTGGTTTTTTGTGATTTATTTAAGTAAACTTTTAGATTTTGTTCATTCTCATCAAAGTAAGTGCATGAATTCTTTCATTTTTATTACGAATTATGTGATTATTAGAATGGGTAACAAAACTCCATAACTAGAGTTGTGGAAACCATGGGTTAACAACAATGTATGACCTAGCTAAAATAACGATTCTAGAATAGTGCCTTGTATGTATTGATTATTCTTTCGCTTAGATGTTTTTTTAACGAGTGATGAACGTTAGAAATCGTCTTATTGCTACTTGCCGGACCAAGGAGGCAGATAATAGAAAAAGAATTATCAACATAGATTTAGTGCATAATATCTAATAGGCTAGTGTCGGTTGGTACGAAGTAACAACTTTGTCAATAATGAATATGATGCTTAATATGAGATAAAGATAAGGTTTAGTGAAGCAACACATGTAGCCGGGCCAAGGTGCAGAGTGGAATTCTCTAGATAGCGTACCAAGGATTTAGAGATACCTAGCTTTTAACTTTGTGTGCAAGATACTACGAAATGATTGTTATAGCTAGAGTTACCGAGATAGGAGCCCTTGGGGAACAGTTACGCCCTAGTTACTCTTATTAATTGATTAAACTCCAATACATGAACCTGTCACTTGTTTACTTTTATTTAGCTAATTGATTCATTAATCAAAACCCCTCTTTAGTTATTTGTTTTTGGGAAATAATTGACTAAACAGAAGTAATAATAGAAAAAATTTAAGTCTGAACAATTTTCCTCGTGGGAACGATCCCCACCTTTCTTTTTGGGTATCTTACTTGATGCGATCACTTTTACTATCAAAATTTCGCGCCGTTGCCGAGGAATGTGGATTTTAGATTTACTTTAAAATTATTACCGAAGTTTAGTTAACATTTTCCTAATTTTACTTTTTCTTTTTGTTTTTGTCTCCTGCTCGCGTAACTTCCTTATATGACAAATACACGGAGTAGAGGAATGCCCGTAATTGAACCTGTCCCCGTAATAGAGCGTACTTTAAGAAGAATGAATCAGAATTAGGGAATCCAAGGCGATGAGGTGGACCTGCAAATTCCACCATTGGTCGACACTCATGAACCCGTATTACTTGATATTCATAAGGAAGGTGAAATACGAAGACACGTTCCCACTCCACGCCCTCAAGAGTATTATAAGGTCTATGAAAATATCATAGACACTGATAGGCCACTAGTCTTTCCCCATCTACCACAAGCCCAGACTTTTGTGGTAACTAGTAGTCTGATGCAAATTCTCACTGCCAGAAGTTTGTTTTATGGGATACCTTCTGAGGATCCACATGCCCACATCGCTAAGGTAAGGGCAGTGTGCACAAGTTGTGTAGGGAGGCCCGATTTGAATATGGATGTAATTGGGCTAAGACTTTCTCCTCTCTAACTGACGAGAGAGGTAGCTATCTGGTTTACTGAGATCCCTTATAACTCAATCTTCACATAGAATCAACTGAGGGATGCTTTCTTAGCACGCTACTACACAGTGTCTAAGAAACTAAACCACTAAGAGAGAGTGAACAACTTTGTGGCACTACCGGGAGAATCAATTAGCAGATCTTTGGATAGGTTCACTTCACTCTTGTGAAGTGTCTTAAATCATTGCATAGATGATGAGTCTCTGAAAGAGTATTTCTATCGGGGACAAGATGATAATAACAAAGCGGTGTTGGACACGACACCATGTGGTTCTTAAGAGGAGTGTCCTTATGCCGAGATTGCTGAAAAGTTAGAGAAAATCTTCCAAAAAATAATAAAGCTTGAAGTACCAGGAAGTCATATACTAGGAGAAACACCTTCACAGTCCAATTCGCACACAACTTAGTCGCAGATGATCTTCAGAGGAAATGGATCAAATGGGAACTGAGCATGGTTGGTGTTGAAACTTGTTGCTGGGTGTGCGAAAGAGGTAAATGCGGTGAACTACTTGTCTAAACCACCACTGCCAAATGATGAATATTACTATGAGGAGGACTCCTGTGCGGTGAATGATCATACGGGGGGTTTCCGATCGAACGCCCAAGGCTCTTATCAGGAGAATTGACGTCAAGGTCAAGGAAACCAAGGTCAAAACTATGGACCACGAGGGTCATTATGTACGAGATGGGAATTACAACCGCGACAACAATTTCAACTGGTGTAACTATGGTCATAGAAATTGTTGGAGTGGGCCCTATGTTCAACGTCAAAATCGTGAAGTTTTTCCTAGGGATGGTGGAGCTAGTA